AATGCAAAGTAACAAAGAATATTTTAGTACAAACAAAAATAGTACATCCTAGAGCAAGCTTTGAGTAGCTGAAGCTTATTAAAAAAAAAAAAAAAAACTGATATACCTTCTTCTGAAGCTCACTGGCCTACCAAAAGTTACAATTTTATACCTAAATAGTTTATTTCCTAGACATGTTTCTAATTACAAAACATGATACTAGTTACAAACAGAAGATCATTCTAGTCCTACATAAAATTCTCTAAGAGACAGAAATAAGGTTTAAAGATCCAAAGACTCAACAATTGCATTGGTTTTTAATTTAAACAAAAGAAAGAAAAAACAAAAATGTTCTGGCTAGGGAAACTTCAGAAAAATATCACAGAAACTTTAAAAAGAATTTGTCCTATCTCATTTCAAATATTCTTTTTTAAAAAAATTTTTTAATATCTCCATTTTATTTTTATGTGGTGCTGAGAATCGAACCCAGTGCCTCACGCATGCTAGATGAGCATGCTACCACTTGAGCCACATCCCTAGCCCATCAAATATTCTTTCAGTAAAGAAAAAAGAAATTAAGTGATTTAAAATTAACCTTTTTTCAACTTTAATTTTTAGCTTATTATGTACATCTTTAGGAAAAAGTAAATTATACCGGGTTAAAGTACAAAAATGCTACACATAAGCATAACAATCAATTTCAATGCATATACTCTTACAAAAAAAACTTTTCTAAATTGAGCACAATATAGCACCCTCTAATAGATAATCCTAAGAAAAAAATTTTTTTTTTGGTACCAAGGGTTGAACTCGGGGGCACTCTACCACTGAGCCACATCTCCAGCCCTATTTTGTATTTTATTTAGAGACAGGGTCTCACTGAATTGCATAGTACCCACCATTGCTGAGGGTAACTTTGAACTTGCAATCCTCCTGTCTCAGCCTGCCAAACTACTGGGATTACAGGCATGAACCACGGAGTTGGGTTTAGGATATTCTTAAGACTTGTATCAAAGCTAATCCCCAAGTGTTCAAAGGAATGTTACCCAGAAAATGTTTCCACCTTTACAACTTTAAAAAATCTCAAGATTAAAGATGGATTATTTACAACATATATATATTTCTACAAAGAGGTTTTTTTTTATAGATGTTTTTGTTTGTTTTGCGATACTAGAGATTAACCTTGGAGTGGAGATTAACCTTGGAGTGTTCTACTATGCACTAACATTTCCAGCCCTTTTTATTTTTTGAGACAGGATCTCACTAAATTGCAGAGGCTGGCCTCGAATTTGTGATCCTCCTGCCTCAGTATCCAGAGTAGGTGGGTTACAAGTATGTACTACCATTCCTGGCATGTAGTTTTTAAAGAAGTGTCAGTAAACACCTTGGCACTGTGAAAAAGCATTTGTTGAGCCTAGTGAAATGCAAGGATACCTGTAAGGAGGAGAGGAACTAAAGCCTAAAACTGGTTTTATATATTTTTAAGTATAAAATGTTTTGGGGAAATTAATAGTAAGGCTTTGATTAAACCATAACCTGTCCTCAGCAAGTATTTATTGTGCTTATTAGCAAGAGACAGATCAGAAATGGCCTTTGGAGACTGACAGGGTAATGCGTATGTCCTTCAAAACTATTATTTTTGTGTGTGATTCCCTGTCATCAAGCAGCTTTTGAACTATAAACAACTGATGAACCGGGCCTAATTCCATTTTAAGATTGGGAGCCATCTCGGCACAAAATCATGAAAAGTTAATTTCTGTTTTACTATAAATTACTGAGATTTCTAAATTAGTTTGGAAGTCCTGCCCATGCCTTGAACTCACCCATGCCTAGCTCCCCCTGATCAGATAACAACCTGCTCTGAAACCTCAGAGGCGCTTCATAAATTCTGATGTTGGGATCTGAATTTACTCCCTACTTTGAAATCTCATGTCATGTAGATTATTAACCTACTATCTGCCTTTGTATTATGCCTGTCAAAATCCTGTTATTTGTAAGTTTTCAAGACACCCCCTTTGCAACTTTTTGTGCTATAAAATCTCATTCTTGCACAGCTGGAGGGCTGGTCTCTAGCTCAAGTTAGGGGAGACAGTCACTGATCAGCTCTCTTTAAAGCTTGCTTTAATTCGATCTAAAATAGGAGTTGATACCTTTTCTTTGCATTGGGGTTCAACACAATCTCTCACAAAGCTTAACACTCATAAAACAATATATTCACTGCTGTAATCAGCTTTTTGGTCAATATATCAATACATCAACTACCTCTAAAACAACCCTAATAAATCATTCTATTCTGCACATCAGTTTTTCATGAATTTAGTTAGCTTGAGTGAATCCCCAAGAATCTGATCAATTCTGATTAATTAGCTAGGTACTAGGGATTGAACCCAGGGGCACTTCATCCCTGAGCTATATATATCTCCTACATCCTCAGCTCTTTTTAGGTTTTTTGAAACAGGGTGTAAATTGCTTAGGACCTTGCTAAATCACTGAGGCTAGTCTTCAACTTGAGATACTCCTACCTCAGCCTCCCAAATCAGTAGGATTACAGGTGTGGACCACCCATACCCAGGTAGGTGTAATTTCTGACACTTCTGAAGTGAGAATCAAATACAGTAATTATATTCATATGAAGAGCTGATCATCAAAGTGAGTCTCCAGTTTATCCTCCAACAAAATACCTTTATTTCCTCATGCCCTTCATGCAATTTTAGTTAACTCATTAAACTGTTAAGAATTAATGAAATAAACCAGGTAAAGTGGCACAGGCATGTAGTCCCAGCAACTCAGGAGGCTGAATATCAGAAGTTTAAGGTCTGCCTCACCATCTTAGGGAGACAATCAGAAACTTAGGGAGACCCTGTCTCAAAATTTTAAAAATTTTAAAAGGACTGAGGATGTAGCTCAGTGGTAAAAAGCCCCTGGATTCAATCCCCAGGCCCCAAAATAAATAAATAAATAAGATATACCACATAATACTGCTTCTCAAACTTTCATGAGATATACAAAAATTAAGAATGATCAAATAAATCAGGGCAGGGCCTGAGATTCTACATTTCCAGTAAGTTCCCAGAGATGTCCAGGACTGCCCACAGATTTCAAGGGTATATAACTTGCCTGGCACAATGGCAACTGAGTACAGTTAACTAGCTCCCATTTGTATATGTCTTCCTTAGTGATGGCACACTTCTTGAGAGCTAATGCAATTTTTTTCCCATTTTGTATCCTCCAAAATGTTAACCAGAATGCTTTCCAATCAAAGGGCATTAAACATAGGCCAGAGGGCTGGGGCTGTAGCCCAGTGGCTGGAGCACTTGCCTAGCATGCAGGAGGCACTGGGTTCGAGCCTTAACACCACATAAAAATTAAAATAATAATAATAATAAATTAATAAACATAGGCCAACTTACTAAATGGCATTAGACTTTTAACTTCTATGGTCATAGATAGATTTTTTTTTCCTCTGCATTACCTTATCCTAAACACAAAAATATTTTTTGAAAATTGAAAAATTTGGAATGCTTTTAATGGTTTTTTAAAGTAAAAATAAAAACTGGAAAAATCTGCCAAAAAAAAAAAACCCAGTGCACGTTTCTCATGCTAGCCTAATCAAATCTTTAAAAAAAAAAAAAAACTCTTCTTTTTGTTCTTAATAAACAAGAACTTAAATAAAAATAAGTCACTCAGCTCTCTGGGGAAGTTTTTTAATCGAAAAAATTAAGATTTTTTGCCATTTTTAAAACAGCACCATTAAATTATAAGGACATCTTAGTAAAGGTAACACCTATAAAATAATCTTGACTTCTGAGATTAATTATACCATTTAAAAAAAATCAGTATTTGTTATCCCTAGGTAGATCTTTGGCACAATTTCATGTTTCTCTGCTTATTTTGTAATTACTATGAGTGACTAAATCTTTCCTGTAAATATTGGTGTTAACCTGACTACCACACTTCGATGTTCCATGCTAAGAAAAAAGAGGGGTGGGGTGGGGGGGTGTTTTCAGCGCTCTGGAAAGGAAACAAAAGGTGGAGTATTATTTTCACTTCCAGAATTATTTTACCTCTACTGTTCCATGGCTGGCGGGTTTTTTGTTTTGTTTTGTTTTTTGTTTTTTTTTGGAGTTAAGTAAGGACAGTAACTAAGGGTCGGATTTAAACCATACCGCTGAATCAGGAACAATTTAAAGGCCTTGCAATTACAAGTGGATAATCGATTTTTCGCACAAGAAACGCATCAACCCCTCTGATGCGGCCACCTCAAGCCTCACAGGCCAGTCCCGCCTCTGCCCAGGGCGACCGGGAGGTCGGGGTGGCGCACAGCGGCTCCAACGCGTCATTGCGGGGTTTTGCTTTTTCGTGTTTACTAAAATTGTCGTTTGCTTTGTTTTGTTTTCTTAAGTTCCGACCCAGGTGGGTAGAGCGGGGCGGGCAGGCATTTCGCAGGCCGGAGACACCCGTCGAGCGGCTGTGACCAGGAGGCCGCATTCTCACTACGGAGGCAAAATGGTGGCGGCGAGCGCCACCAGGCTGAGCCCGGGCGGGGTCTCAGAGCGGCGGGAAAGGATCCCTCCAGATTTCGGCGGCCAGAACCCGTCCTCGTCCAGATGACCTCCGGGTGTCCACCGCCTGGACAACTGCCGGCCTGGCGCCTGCGGCCCCGAGACCCAGGACGAGGGTGTGGAGGCGGCGGTGGCGACCGCGCAACCAAGAACAAGGACGCCATTATCAGCCTCCCGGGCTGGCGCATGGGCCGCAGCCCGCGCAGAAGCCGAAGCCCGGCCTCTGAGGGGGAGGAGAGGACGCGGAGGGCGGGGAAGAAGAGGGCGGAGGATGGGGAGGCGGGGCCGAGGCGCCCGTGCTTGTGACTGCGAGGACGCGGGGAAGGGGGCCCCTCCTCAGGCCACCCTCTCCCAGCTCGTGGGGGCTAAAGATGGGGGAATGACCTGTCCCCACCCGGCACTTCCCAGGGTCGCGGCGGGCGGCGAGGGCAGCCGCTGTCTCCGCGCTACCATCCATACCTTCCTTGTCTTTATCTTCCGCCATCTTGATGCGGAGCCGGTCGCCTGGGAGATGCCAGTCGTTAGCCCGGGTCGCCCCCCTTGGGCCCCCGCGACGCCTGGAGCCCGGGATCGGGGAGGGGCCGCCCAAACGGGGCGGGGCTGGGGGCTTAGAGCCGCCTCCGCGGCTTCCCGCCGCGACCACCCTCCCCCCGCCCCTCTCCCCCGGCCCGGCGCGCGAGCATCGGAAAACCCTGCCTGCCCCCCTGGACCCGCGCCACCGGTCTCCGGCCTTTTCTCTCCGGGGTCTGGGTTTCTCCGTGTCTAGGGGAATCATTCCATAATAAGGTTGTGAACCCCTTCTTTCCATTGTTTGTGATTGACTTGGGGACATCATACTGTGCTCTATCTCTCACTCCCTCGTTTGTACGACGTGGCGTGCTCGATTTTTTTTTTTTTTTAACTGCGGATTTAAAACGCAGCCAGAGAGCTGGGTGAAGAGCTCGGCTCCCCAGGGCGTAATAGAATTAAACTGCAATCCACCCTCCTCCCCCTTCCCATTCACAGCCCCCTGGCGCTGGGAAGCCGCCCGGCTGCTGCAGAACCGCCTTGCTGGCTCCATCCTTGTTTTCTCCTGTCCAGTCCTCCCAGAGAAAGTGACGGTACAGCCTATGAGAACTGGAGCTAAAACGGACATGGGCAGAGTGCAAGAGGAAACCAGAGCCATTCAACTATTACTAGAGAGGAATCGCTGTAGAAAAACGTGCAAAATAGGCGCAAACACTGCGTCGTCAAGGCTGCGATTTCTGATACAAAATAAAAGGTTCTCATAGCAACAGAAACGTGCCCATGTTGTGCTCAGAATTACATACATTCATATGTTCCTAGTTGTAAAATTTTGACATAACCTCAGGTTAAAATTATAATGGAAGTTTTAAATTCTGCTTTCCTGAAACTTTGCAGCTATAGCATGGTGTTAAATTGTTATTTATCAATAAGCTTACCTATTAGGATACTTTAAAAAAAAAGCTTTGAATAAAATGCCTAATGCTGTGGCTATTTTTAAGCTAATGTTTAATGATATGTCAGCATATGTGTACTAATTTAACGACTTAATGCACATAAGAGCAATTTATAAACTAAATTTTAAGAGGCTTTCAAAATACATGGTGTTGCTATTTAATGATTTTATTAAAAACAGTTTTTAATGCTCCTTTTATTAATTCTGGTTCTATAATCCCTGGAACCCTAAAGCAAACTATTCTTTATTAAAATATGTATTTTATTCTAGAGAGAGATCTATTTAGTGCTCTGATCATCATTCTGTTTGAAAATTATGAATGTTAAATGCTTGAATCGTCACCAAATGGCTTATATTAGTAGTTATTTTTATAAAATTAATGCAAGTGTGAACAGTAAATTCTTAACTCCCCAAAATATAGAAATGTAATCGTTACCATTCGTTTATATTTAACTTTCATAGTCACTGTGTTGTAGTTTTTAGAGGTTCCCTCTCCCCATATAGAAATGAAGGTTTGAAATAAGTGTAGGAACTCTAACTCTGGTCTCAGGCCTACTCTTCACTCACTGTGCCCTTTTCTGTGCCTTTTACATTCAACTCTTTTTGGAATGCTCCTTCCAACTGTCCCCGCCCCCAGAATTCACCCTCCCACAGACACACACATTTGTCCCTTCCTGGTTGTCCTGTAGGATGACCTTGAAGGTCACCTGTTCTAACCTTTACCTCTCAACCTCTGCCTCTTTTGCTCTATATTCATACAGGTTCTCACACTGGTTTGCAATCATTTTATTTACTTGTTTTCTACCAAACTGAAAGTCCTGAAGACAAGAAACTTCATTCATCCACATATATTCCCAGTGCTCAGAACATTTTTTCAACGTTTCTGTCTGAAATAGTGTTTTTATTTTATTTTTAAATTTTAATTTACGTAAGTATTTATTTTTGCAGTGATAAGGATTGAGCCTAGAACCTTCTATATTCTAGGCAAGTACTTTACCACTAAGCTACATCCCTAGTCTTTCTTTCTCTTCTTTCTTTCTTTTTTTTAAGAGATGGGTCTCTTGGTGTTGTCCAGTACAGCCTCTAACTTTTTGTCTCAAGCCGTCCTCTTGCCTCAGCCTCCGGATTAACCAGAACTACAGAATACAGGTACACTCTACAACATCTAATTTGAAATAATATATGTCTTAAAAATTAAGACAGGAGTTAGTCTTCTCAAGATTTTTTTTTAAGACCCAGATTTGGGCTGGGGTTGTGGCTCAGTGGTAGAGCGCTTGCCTGGCATGTGTGGGCCCCTGGGTTCGATCCTCAGCACCAAATATAAATCAATAAAGTAAAGGTATAACAAAAAGGTCCAGGTTCATCGAACTTCTTGCAAATAAGATAGGTTTGCCTTTTTCATAATATTTTTATATCAGTAAAAGTATTGGTGGTACATGTTAATAAAATGGAATCCTTACATGAACATTTATTTATAATAAAAAAACAGTTACTATTTTTAAGAGTTGAACAGATTTCTCTGCAACCTTCCTCCCAATATTTCTTATATATTTTACTAAATTTAACTATTTAATGAAGCTTTTTTATTTATGTTATTCCAACTCACAGTAATCTCTACTTCTCTGAACCTCCTACAGTACCTTTAAAAAATACTGTTTCTGCAGAGCTGGGTGGTGCCCACCTGTAATCTCAGCGGCTTGGGAGGCTGAGGTAAGAGGATCCCAAGCTCAAAGCCAGCCTCAGCCAAAAAGTGAGGTGCTAAGCAACTCAGTGAGATCCTGTCTCTAAATAAAATACAAAATGGGGATGTGGCTCAGTGGTTGAATGCTCCTGAGTTCAATCCCCAGTATCAAAAAAAAAAAAAAATACTGTTTCTTATAGGTTTGGGTCAGTTAAAAAAATGTTAAATGTATGTTAATTTGCCCCCTCTCCTTTATGTCTGAAGACAGGAGCCTAATCTTACACATCTTTTACATATCCACAGTATCACTTCTAATTGGAGCTTATATCAGGTGCTTAATTCATACTTTTCAACTGCCTAATTAGTTCATTAGCCATAAAGTATAGATCTAGAAAACTTTCCACAAGTGAAAATGATTATCTAAGTAGCAACAACAAAATAGACCCACATTACCAATGAGTGATCATCTGCTTTGTGCTCTTTGGCTGTGAAGACCTGACTGCTGATTATATTATACTTTTAAAACTTTTTCTGTCTCAATAATCGCAAACTAACTACAACCTTTTTTTTTTTTTTTTTGCCTTTTAGAATATGTTTTGTTTCTAAACTACAGCTTGGGTAACTTTGTAATATTGTATACTGTTAAAACATTTTATTTAAAAATCTCATAGTGATTTTTAGAAATTCAAAATCATAAAGTTATTTTTTTTCCTACCCATGGATATTATGGAAAATTATTAGGGTTAAATCATAAGAGAAAGAGCATAGTTTTAGACAGTGCACTTATTTGACTAATTGTACTCTGCAGGGCCACTTGGGTATGTGCAGTTATGTCCTTTTGCATGCTTTAATTTATACTGAGTTTAATCTGTTCAGACAGATATCAGTACCATGCCCATGAGGAATACAGAAAATGTTTCTTCTGAATACAACTGATGCAGTTACTAAGATGTGAGTAAAGTGGAAAGGGCATGTGTTGTAAATAATGCAAAATGGTAAGTCAAAAAAATCTTGACATTATGTCTGCTTCCCTAGTATGAAGATAATTGAAATCTCCTTGGGTTAAGAATATAGTAATCCCCCTTTTTCCAAAAGGATTACATTTCCAGACCCTCAGCAAATACATGAAACTGCTATGGTTTTATTTTTCCTATACATCCGTAGCTGTGATCAACTTTAATTTGTAATTAGGCATAGTAAGAGATGAACAACAATATATTGTTAGACCAGGACGCAAGAAAAGACCACTGACTCCAATTAAAATCAAATTAAAGCAAGCTTATTATTTCGACCGGCTGGGCTGCCTCTCCCTCCCAAAACGGCGGGAACAAGACAGCACCCCAGCTTTCCTGCAGCCCAGCTTTATAGCCCAGAATGTTACACAAAGGGGGGTTACAGATAACAGAACTCTGTCAAGCATCACACTAATGGTAGTTTACATTTTTTGCTGGTCCCAACATCAGAATTTATGAGGACCATTAGAGCCTCAGAGAGGGTCATTGTCTGGCCAGGGAAGGCCAATATTTATGAGGTGTCACTAAGTTTCAGAGAGGGCTGCTATCTGGTCAGAGAGCCAGGCATGGGTGAGTTCAAGGCACGGGCAGGCATTCCAAGCAGGTTCAGAATTTGCAGTAATTTATAGTAAAGCTGAAATTATCTTTTCATGGTTTTGTGGCGAGATGCCCAATTTTAAGAAAAGATCAGGTTGGGTCTATCAATATCATAGATCTTAACAACTTTGGCATATAGTTTTTTTCTTTCTTTATTAAATTGTAAATTTTTATCTTTCCACTTAAAGAAAGCACTTTACAGCCTCTCTTTGGCATGTCTGAATTGCCAGCATCACTGGCCTTGTATTTTGGGGCCATTATTAGTAAAGGAATGGTTACTTAGACTTAAGCACTGAAATTCCATGATAGTTGATATGGTGACCAAGATACCCACTGGATAATGGGTAAGTAGCGTATACAACATGGATATACCAGAAAAGAAAGATTCCCATCCTTTACTGTGAGATTGACATAGGACTGAGTGAGATTTCATCATATTACTCAGAATGGCTCCCAACTGAAAAATTATGAATTGTTTACTTCTGGAATTCTCCACTTAATATTTGCTGACTATGGTTGACCATGGGTAACTGAAACTATGTGAAGTAAAACTGTGGATAAAGAGAGAATGCTGTAACTTAAAAAACAAAAACTGGATTTTTCCTTCAACATTGTCATTTACCTCAAGAGCCTAGGCAAGTCATGTAATCTCTTTATTTTATTTATTCACTTATTGCATTGCTGGGGGTTGAACCCAGGGCTTTGTACATGCTAGGCAAGCTTGCTACCACTGAGCTAGATCCCTAGCCCGAGACATGTAATCTCATTAAAATTTAGTTAACTCAAAAAAAAAAAAAATAGAAATAGTATTATCCTAACTCCCAAAGAGTTTTCATGAGATTTAATAGCTTTGAAAAATTTTAAAGAACTTGCAAGGAGGTTCACTGTCTTTAAGAGAAATGAACCCTGAGTTTTCTATAGAAAGAAACACATAGAAATCAAACCCCATCTTCTTCTCTGAGATTCAACTTCCACTTAGAGTGCTTACAAAAGAGGATGGTTTGCCGCCAGTAATACACTCTCAATTACTATAGTCTGCTGACTGTGTGACATATGATCTAGTTTATATTTTATAGCTGATCAACTTCAGTTTGTATTCCCTTCCTGGTTTCTACATTGCCATTTTTAAATCTTTCCAAGCAGAAGTGGCTTTAACATATCTAGAATCCTTG